TACCCGAAATGATGTTCGGAACCTATTTTAACATTTTCTTGGTTTTTTCGAGTAAAAAAAGTTTTTTGAAAAATCTCAGATTTTTTGACCTTCTTTGCAGGTCTGGGGTCATGATATTTTTCAAAAATGGCTAAGTTCCCATCTTCAAGGTAAAAGTCTAAAATTCACCGAAACTATCCAAATTGTTGCTCGGAACGTATTTCAAGACTTTCTTGCTTGTTTCAAGTAAAAAAATATTTTTGAAAAATTTCAGATTTTTTGAACTTTTTTACAGGTCCGGGGTCATGAAATTTTTCAAAAATCGAAACATTACCATTTTAAACCAAGATCCAATTTTTTTACAATCAACATCTAATGGATCAAGATCCAATTTCATAGACTTGTCAAAATTGGACCAGAACATATAGATATTTCTACATTTGGTAAAATGAGAGTATTATATGCTGTTTAAGTCCTTAGTAGGACAATGTCACTTGCGCTTGATCCATTACTTCCCAAATGGGGAGGCAGATGAAACAGCAAAGCTTTGCTCTCTAGTCAATGATTTCTTTGACATGTGCAATGTGAGATCCACCTCAGAGTGCACAAGAAAGAGAAATAGCAATTTGGAGCCCTTTAAGTCGGTGGATGACCCATGCCTTGCATGGATGAAGGATTGCTTTTTGCAATACTTTGGGAAATGGTTTCAAACAATAGAGGATACTGATGAGATCTCCAAGGAAGATAAAAGCAAAATGTCCAAACAAACATTTGAGGGGTACAAAAATACAATTAACTCGACAATTGAGCTTATCGGGTTTCTTTTAGTTAACGGTGTCAAGTATGTTTTGATAGAGAGATTGATGCAAGATGTGCTGGAAGAATATTTTGGCTACCAAAAGTCCCATGGGCGTAGATGTGATAACCCGATGGCCAGTGTGGTTACAATGACCAAATTATTAACATGTAACGAACAATTGCACCAAAGGGCAATGTTAGAGGTAAACATTCGCTGAAATGGTCAAAAGTGAGTGATGAACCACTTCCAACAAAATAAATTAAAAAGTAACTGTTAATTTGTTTATCGATTTCTATTAATAAGTCTTAGGATACAAGTAGTCTATAATAAATCGCATATTAAATTGAAAATTGAAATAGCTTAAAGTTTTTCTAGCTTTACAAAGGTAAGCTTTAAAAAGGTGTTTGTATGGCAACTTACTTATTATTTGATTTTATCCCCCCCCCTGGAATGATATCTTGGGGTTAATCTAATTCAGGCATCCAAAATTATTCAGATTAAGGCCCTCAAGGTTTGTGGTATGGACAAAATTACAATAAGGTAGAGCTTATAAAAAGGCTTATAAAAACAAGTAATATAGACAAAATATCCAAGTTTCTTGTAGAGATGTTTTATGTTTTTCTAAGTTCCTTTGATACAACAAGTTACATATCAGTCAGTTAATATTAAAACAAAATTATTTCTGTTGGCTTTCCTCTGCCTTTTTCTTCAGTGTTTTTCTCAGTGCCTTTTGTTTTTTCTCAAGGGGTTGTTGAGCTAGATGTCTTTTCCAAATATCTTTGGTGTGGGAAAAACATCGAATTCTTACAAACAATTTGATAATCATTTGTAAACAAAGATCAGTTCATTCAGTGCTTATTAGATTCTCATCATGGTTCAACATGATAGAATTCCAAATTGAGACGACAGATGGATGGCAAAGGCAAGATTTTATGATATCATCAATAGGGATGGACCTTGGTGTGGATTTGGTCAGCCTTCTGAATGTATTCTCCACTATTTCAATGATTCCCATCAGCTTTGTTGAAGGTGCTCACAAACCGCCCCTGTCCAAGCTTGCAATGAAGGCATTTTGGGAAGTTTTAACCGATAAAGTTTTGGCAATTGCCACGGGCTTTTTCTCTTGTGAAAACAACCTTTTCATGAATTTGGCTTAGAACTGAACAGGCAACATAGGCCAACGGAACGCGTTCTTCCTGTCTTAGCCCCTTGCTACACAAATTCTCCACATCACCGAGCATTCCCTTTTTTACGTGATACAGCATGGCTGTCGCAAACTTTAAAAGAAATTTATTTGCTTCTTTCACACTTCTATCAGGAAAAAATTCGAGCGTTTTCGCAAAAATTGTTGAATATTTTGTATAGAAGCTATCATGGTCGTTCTTGCAATGTGATAACAAATTGTCTATAGACGAAAGAAGCCGTTGGGGAACTTCACTTGGCAGTCTTTCAATTAATTCTGCACTGTACATATTTTCCTTTAATGCATTCTCCTTCATTTCTCTAGCAATAACAACAAAGTCTTCAGCCTTGAGAAATGGCTCTTTTGGCAAAGAATAATGATTTCTCTCAATGTGAACTTCTAGGCCACTTTTTGATCGGCAGATTCGTTGACACAAGTTGCAAGGAAATTCTTGCGCACCAATCAGTTAAATAACATCATCGTCCAAAATGAATGTGGTAGGAAGACTTTCATCTTCAAAAACAAAATCAATAGTTGAAATAAGTGAATCTGAAAATGTAAATTCGTCATCGAGAAGCGCTTCGATCTCACTCACTTCACTGTTTGTCGCCATTGCGATAGAAAACCTTACCAGTTCGTCGTCATGTGACCATTAGTTCAACCTTATTTTGCAAAATCCTTTGTTCCACCGTTTGCCTTCCTAACCATTCCTTTTCTATTGGCTATGATTGTTTTGATTAAAAAATTTTTTAAAAGTTTTTTGCAGGTCCGTGGTCATGAATTTTTTCAAAAATGACTAAGTCCTTTTTTCCATAAAACAAGCCTAAAATTAACTGAAATTACATGAAATTGTGTTCGGAACGTAAATTAAGACTTTCTTTATTGTTTTGAGTAAAATAAGTTTTTTAAAAAATTCAAGATTTTTTCAGTTTTTTGCAGGTCCGGAGTCATGATTTTTTTCAAAAATGACTCAGTCCTTTTATCATAATATGAGCCTAAAATTAACTGAAATTACCTGGAAAGGTGTTTGGAGCGTAAATTTAAACTTTCTTGGTTGCTTCGAATAAAATATTTTTTGACAAAATTCACGATTTTTGAAGTTTTTTGCAGGTCAGGGGTCATGATTTTTTTCAAAAATGACACAGTCCTTTTTTCATAATATGAGCCTAAAATCAACTGAAATTACTTGAAATGGTGTTTGGAACGTAGATTAAGATTCTTGGTTGCTTTGAATAAAAAAAAATTTTTTAAAAATTCATAGTATTTTAATTTATTTCCAATTTTGTTGTAAAATATTCTATATATTTTCTTTAATTTTTTTTTCAGATATGCATTGGAGATCCAAAAAAAGGTCCTCAAATGAATTAAGAGAGGTATTTTCTAAGCATTTTATGTTGTTTCGAGTAAAAAAACTTTTTCAAAAATTCTAAATTTTTGAAGTTCTTTGCAGATTCAGGGTCATGAACTTTTTCAAAAGTGACTCAGTTCTTTTTCATAATATGAGCCTAAAATTAACTGAAATTACCTGAAATGGTATTGGGAACGTAAATTAAGACTTTCTTGATCAGTTCGAGTAAATAAAACTTTTTGGAAAAATTAAAAATTTTATGAGCCTGAAATTCACTGAAGTTACCTGAAATGGTGTTCGGAACGTAAATCAAGACATTCTTGGTTGTTTAGAGTAAAACAAAACTTTTAAAAAAATTCAAATTTTTTAAAGTTTCTTGCTGGATAATGATTGCGAATTTGAAAAAGTCAACGTTTTTGTCGAAAACCAACCAAAATCGATTGAGTATGATCAGAAATTACTTTAAAGAATGAAGAATGACCCCAAAGGCACTCCAAATTCAAGTGTATAGGCTTACCAAAACTGCTTATTTTTGAATGTAAATTTTTTCGTTTAAAACCAACTAATATCGATTGAACATTATCAGAAATCTTCAAAAATAAAGAAAGACTCCAAGGGCATTCATTTATTTGAAGAAAATTGCTACTTTTTAGAGAAAAGCATATTTTTGAAAAAGGGAAAGTCTATAGGCTTACCAAAATTTCCAATTTTTTAAGGTAAAGTTTTTCATCTAAAACCAAACAAAATCGATTGAATATGATCAGAAACTACTAGATATGTAGAATGACTCTAAAGGCACTCATTTTTTTGAAGAACATCGCGACTTTTTAGAACATGCCATTTTTGGAAGTCTATAGATATTCATTTTTCCACTAAAATCTACCCAAATCAATTAAATGTTGTAAGAAACTGCAAAAAATTAAGAAAGGGCTCTGCATTATTTGTCGAAAATCACTTTTTAGCGGAGACTATTTTATGTAAAAAGGCAAGTCGATAGATTTACTGAAATCTCCAATATTTGAAGGTGAATTTTTTGGTCTATAACAGACCTAGTTCAATTAAATATGTTCAGGAATTAGAAAAACAAATAAAGAAAGACTCCAAGGTCTCTCTCTCCATTTTTTGACTAAATTTTTAAGTTTTTAGAGGAGACAATGTTTCAAAAAAAGCCATGTATATAGGTTTTCCAAAAGTGTCAGTTGTTTAGCGGCTTTAATCGATTATTTTGGCTTGTGAAGCTTCTTTAGAATAGAGAAAAATTTATTAGGAATCAAGATCTGAATTTTGTTGATTTAAAATGGACCTTGTTTGCGCTACAGAGGAATTAAAACATCTCGATGATATATGCCGCCATTGTATTTTTCGCGGTTTTTGCCCCACTTCTGTATTGGCATCCCGGACGTCTATTCATCACCGCTTTGTCATTCGAAAATAATGAATCTGAAAAATTTTGAATTTTGCAGAAACAAATTTGATAAAATCTATCTTAGTGCCGTTTAGTATATTTAGTAAAACACATTGGTTAGAGTTAAACAAAAAAAATCACTTTTATGCTATGGAAAAAGCAAGCGTAAAGGCTTTGAATCTTTGTTAATTTTTGTTGAAAATGTTATAATTAAATTTTCCTTTAAGCACCTTTTCATAAATCAAGATGCAGAAGGTTTTTATACAACGATAAAAATCCCAAACTGAATGAGTGAAGATACTCGATTTGCAAGACATTTCATTATTTTACGTACATATAATACAGTGTGTCTAGATTGTAAGAGTTTTAAAGTTATCTCGCAGGATACTTGTATACGCAGGATACGAATGAATAAATATTCTAAATTTTATCACTGAGTCCAGAACTAACTGTATTGATGACATAAACTGCAAAGGTTGAGGATCTTCTTTTTAATTTTGACAGTCAAACAGTTTGTTAACGAGGCAATTGATATCCTAAATAATTCTACCAAAGTTTTCGCATTTTAGGGCTTTCTGTTCTCTTCCAGGTGACATTGCGATCATTATATAATGGACTATTTGAATAGCACATATGATTACGGTATGCTTTTGTTATAATGAAAAATTTCACAAATGTCAACTCCTCTTTCTAATTAAAACGTAATAAAACGGCACCAGAGAAAAGCAGTTTCTAAGCCAGTTTCCTTGTTTCTACGACGTCTTGTGAAAGGGTTTTTGAGAAAAATTATGGCAGAATATTACATAACATAAAACTATTGCTTTAAATTATCTAATCCTAACCTTATTTGATGAGGTATAGTTAAACTACACGCAAGTGTCTTCGAACATTTGTAATAACGTCACATTAAAAATGCATGCAAGCGAATCAATTGCCGCATGGATTCAGGCTTGTGCGTCAATAGACCATCATGAATTCTCTAAAACTTTTTCATATGAACTTCAAAAGGCATTAAAAATGCATAATAAAGTTTGGTTTAGCAATCAGAGCTGATGCGATCGGGGCTGTAGAGGCGTCAACCTTTGGACAAGGGTCTATTTCTGATTTCAAGCTGCTGTCGCCAAATGCAGCGGTTCTACGCTTGACAGAGAATTTACTTGAGGCAATACCTACAAAAAACATCTCACATCCATATCTTCTGGAAATTTCATATCTTTTTGTCAAAATCGATCTTTTATTAAAATTCTTTTCCTGCCCTGTTGTAGCCGTAAGATACTCGAAAGAGAAGAGATTTCTTAATTGGCGCCTTGCATATTAAAAGTCTAAAAACGAATAGTGTAAACGAACAAAACAAAGGGTAAAAGATATGGTAATAGATGGTAGGAGGGTAACGGGAGTAACTACACCCAACAAAGTAAGCAATGCCAGCTTTACATTAGGCCTGGAAGATACTAATTCGTTTCTCGCGAGTGCTTTATCTACAAAAGCAGGGTATAGCAGTATAATACTTTACAAAGCTGTGTGGTACTATAATTAAAGGATTGAAACGCGTGTAGTAAATCTATTTACTATTTCCAGAATAGTATGGCTGAGCGAATTGTACACTGTGTTACAAAATATCATCTATTGTACAACCATGGCTTTCTCGTAACTATACCAAAGGAACCTTGTACTCCGAAATCGTACCAGGATCTCCTGGCATTTCTCTATACGTCTTTTTCACTGTTTGGCGGTTGTGTTTACATAATGACGGTATTGGTGCAGAGCGGATAAACAAATTAAAGGCACTGACTGAAAATCAAGTGGCTACGTTTAAGGTGGAATTGGAATTTGGTTAAATAGTCAAATAAAATGAAGACGATCAGCGTCCCATAATCTGATTGGTTGTCAGGTAGAGCATATCAACAAAAACGTCAATCAATCACACTTGCTCGAAGCGTGATCTGGTTTTTTCATCAGCACTTGTGTCACTATTTAGTGTTAGTAGCTTTATACAATCTTCTATACCGAAGTGAGCATCTGTACAAATTCTGAAAAGATAGAATAATTAGAGGTGATTAACGATTTCACTAACAATGATCCCCTTTATAAAGGTCTGAAGATTTTCTTAAAGGATCTGATTCAATTATACTTGCCTTAAAGTGTAAATCTAAATTTACAAATCGATTGTTATCAAAAGTTTAGCATGTTTAAAATAATTTTATTGAACAAGTTTAGCAATCTAGAAATTTTCAGTGAACTACCTTTCATCTCATCCTATAATCTGCAAAATACTTACTGATTAACATTGCTTCTAAAGCAACGAAATAAATATAGATTCTTTTATCATAACGTTTTCTGTAAAAAGTGAGCAAACAATCTATTAATATCCATCATTTTTATTGTTGTCGAAACAATATCATGTTTCTATGTATTTCCCTATATTAAGCTAGAAAACTAAGTTTCAGCATAGTTTAAAGATGTGGTGGAAGACAAAAAAGAAGAATAGGTACAGGTACTCCAATCTAAAAATAGCTTTTAGGGGCCTTATTAAGTGGGGTCTGCATCTCATCTTATTCAGCAAGTCAAACTGTGTACTTTTACCAAATATCATGCTTGTATCATAAAATGCACAATTCCTCCTATTTTTGAGGTCATTCTGTCGAGAAAAAAGGCGGCCTTTTCGTTTGTATGTAGAACAAACAGTAGAGCAATTTTGGTTGGGAAAATAATGAACAGTACAGCAAAATAGCTCGGGAAATAAAGTATTGAATACTGTATTTATATAGGTATTTGAAGGGTCTGTACTGTCAGTTTAAGGTTCAATGACAGAAACTAAGCAACTAGAGATTTAATGTAATTTGATGATCTCTACCAATAAGAATCTATTTCAGATTTTAGGCTGGATGGCTTCTTATATAATGAGTGTTTAATTTCATAATTTAAGCCTGTAGAGTCCTAATCCATTAGGTTCTTATAGGCGCGTGTTTACTATATAAATTGCCTATCAAATGAAGCAAAATAGGAAAAATCTACCTTCGTAGTTGATTTGGCCGTCGCCATCAATATCAATCTCTTCTATCATTTCATCGACTTCTTCCTCCGAGAAAATTTCACCCATCTCAAGAGCAGCGTCTTTAAACTCTGCAACACTAATAGTTCCACTGCCATCTGCGTCAAAGACCCTGAAAGCATCCCTTAACATATCCTCGTCACTGAAATCTTTCATTTTCATTGCCATCAAACATAGGAATTCAGGAAAATCTATAATGCCATTACCTGATTAGAAAGGAAAAACAGGCCGGATGTTAAAAATTGAAATTGTAGTAACTCTGAGGTGAATAGCATTTAATTTTATCTTGAGATTATTTCAAACTTTTCGTGGTATCAAAGTTCAAGTGCTTTACCAATGTTCATACAAGATTGTAAATTGGCAATTTCCAGAATCTTTACTCATTACTCAATAACTTAAAGATATCTCTACTCAAAATCTTGAAGCTAATAGTTTCTTACCAGATCCATTCAATGGCGTAACAAATTAACTCCCTAACCATATATTTTGGCAAAGAAAACCTTCTCATATGCAAATAAGGCTCAAATGTATTATCGAACACTTAGGCCTTTCAAAGTGACAATTATACAAATGTTACTGCCATGACAATCCAAGGGCAAATAGCTCTGTTTTTAAGACTAAATAGCTATTGTAATTCGTTATATTTATGATTATGAATGAAGGCTAGACTAGATTGTTATATTGTATAAGGCTATAGCAAAATTAGTTCCTCTCCCAGATCTGAGAACTGCCCGGTTAATCTTTCAGTCGCCTCTAGCTGCCATTTGTGGATAAAAGAAATATTAGCAAGTTTGCTACTATTATCGACAGCAGGTTCGCTGGTGAGCCTTCCTTAATTTGCCAACAAGTTCGAAAACTTACTGACGACACAGCCCTGCATGGCGGTAAACTCTTCGTTTTTGCAATTAAAATTTTCGAAAGGGGTGCCATTACACCGCCCCCCATCGTTCCCTTCAACTCTTAAAACATATCACCTCTTCATTCTTTCCCGCTTTATTGTTTAACAAATCTGCAAATCTGTTAAGAAGTTTTCTCACTTACCATCAAAATCTACGTCATTGATAATGTCTTGAAGTTCTTCTTCAGTAGGGTTTTGACCCAGCGTTCTCATTAGATTTCCAAGTTCTTTAGTTGTAATATAACCAGTTCCGTCTTTGTCAAACAGGGAAAATGCTTCTTTGAAATCTAAAAAATTCGTTATAAATAATCTTGTTCTAATATGCTAATTAAGTAAATGAAAAATCATGATGTAGAAGTTTGGTGTTTTTTATGAAAAACTTTTGGTGTCATGCATAATTTCATCAAACATTTAATAAGTTTAGGCCCGTTTTACTGTTGGTTTAGTTATAATCTCTTTGCAAACCCTTTCTCTCCCTTGCCTGTATTGACCTAGAAGCTAGCTCTATTCCAACTCTGAACATAGCAATCACGTAGGAGCAAGTTTTTTGGCTCAGCCCAGTTTTCAATTATATTCATACTAATTACATCATAGATGGACCGTTAATCTTCTTATACATAAATTCTTTTCACTAGAATTTACTTCAATAGAAAATCATTCTTTGCCTGGATTTGATAATAAGAATTTGACTGTTGATTCAAAATTATTAATTCTAGAATTTTCAAGAACTTAAGAGAAACCTCAATCAATATCTTTACCTTTTATTTCTTCTTCAGTTAGCTTCTCGACCTAAAATTTTGAAAGTCGATTTACAATCATTGTGAAAACTTAAATCTATTTTGATTAAGTATAAAACACATACTTTATCAAACAGTCAAAAGCCCAAACTGCAATTTATGGTAATTATAAGAATGGAAGGCAACTTTTTTTCTTGACATTGTCTATGCAAACCAAAAGGTATGACAGATAGAGAAATAGATGCTTATAACTCGACTCAAATACACAATTTCGGAGTGAATGAATTTGAAGCTGATGATTTCATTTTTCCATTGCGCCACTTAATATCAATATCTTGATTGAAATAATTACAAGAGCATGGAATGCAATACAATATTTATGTAATAAGCTGAGAGGTTTATCAAAGACAATAAATTTTCTAATACAAAATATATGATAGAAAGCATTCACAAAAATAGTATAACAAAATGTGTTGTTAACTATTTTCTGATTGTTCAGTGATAATTATCTGAAAATTTTCGATAAAACAATATAAAAGCATAGAAGATTTATGATTTGCTTTAAATAAGAGGACAATATAAGCTTCTTAATACTGAGGATAGATTTTTGCTTTCTCTCTCAAGAAAGAAAGTTTAGCGAAACAGCAAACGTATCAACTGCAATAGCACCCTTATCTCGACTGTCTCAATGTTTACTATCTTTAAAGTTACTACAAGAAAAGCAATGCTACTCTGATAAAACATAGATTGTCAGTCAGTGAGAAACATTACTTAATTTGGTCTATGCTTTATTTTGTCAAAAAAGGCATCTCTGAATTGCTTTTCTTAATTCAAGGATTAGTATGATCACCAGATAGTTAATATTTGAATTGGATTTGAAGCATGTGCTTGCGTTTTTCTGACTGACCTATTTCAATCCACAACTGGGTCTATCTTGAGCTTTTCGACCCTGATGATGACGTCATATATTCTGAGGAGTGTTTGACAAAAACTCAAGTCATATTGCAAGATTTTTGTTTTTTTCAAAGCCATTTTCAGTTTTTGTACAGGCAGAAAGTTGTTAACTGTCTTAATTTTCGATAAATATTTTGTTAAAACCTCATAACAATCGGCTACAAATGACGTTTTAACAGTGCCTCATCAGAATAAAACTATTCTTCGTGCATTCAAACATTTTACGCATAAACAGTTCTCATAGGAGTGTTATGAAGTTGGATTTTAGTTCCTATGATATCAAATAAAATTGCTTTCTTTCAAAACACGAGACTTCAGCTGTATCGTTTGATGTCATTCTTTTGAAGAGAAAGCAAAATCAATTTTGAAATGTCCTCCTTAGTTTAATGTGTCCTCCTATGTAAAACAGATTATAAATAGTTAATGCTGTACTAGTCTCTTATCTGATCATGCTTATGCAACTATCGAGCAAACTCAAACAATGATTATGCTAGATGATTATTGCAGAATCTTTTCAGCTTTACTTGCGCCCTTTTCAAATTATTATTAAAATCATTGAAAAAGCTAGTGGAGAAACCTTGCTGTTTAAATGCTTCATTTTGTTGTCGTATTTCTGTAAATAGCAATTCATGTAGGTATTCTCGTAAGAAAGAGATAATATTAGAACATGATGTATATGACCACACTGCGCTGCCTACAAATCATAAATTTAGCACCTGTCTACCATGAAAACCCACTGTCGGGAAAGCAAATAGAAAATGACTGCATAGTGGCAATTCATGCTAAAATGTTTACAGCAAGCTACAAACCCGGACAAATATGGTTGAGACTTTTCAAGGAAAGCTTATATTTTCACTTTCCTTTTAAAAATAACTTTCCCCCCCCCCCCCAATTCAATGTTGAATGCATGATTCTGAAAAGGAAATGATAGAACTACAAATCCAACATTGATTCGGGGGAAAAGGGGGAATTCGAATTAATAGGGGCGACATTAAGTAGAAAATTGCAGACATTGCCTGGATTTGAGAAAGGAAAGTTTATTTCAAAGCCTCATCATTTCTTTCTTTTGATCCTAGTTCTGTGGAATTGGCCTACCATCACGGGCACCTTTTTTCAAAAGACAGAACTCTGTCCCGACACTGAGGGTCTGTAGTATATAGAAACAAACCTCTTTTATAATTTGCTAGGAGATATTTTTGCTGCAAATAGCATAATTAGAAAAAGTTGCAAGAATGTTCTTCCAGAGTGTTCAATGTACTTCATAGATAATTGATCACAAACGTGCCGTGCCGCCTTAAAGCCTGGAGAAACCACTTTGACATGAAGATCAAGTAAAAAATAGATTCAGTGCAAATAATGATGCAATCTTTCATGATGTGAGCAAACTAGAAAACTTTTTGCTGTGCTTTACCGACTGCGTGAACAGATTTTCCAAACGATTTTTCTATGTGACCTGGACAAAGCACATTTTGGGCAGATTAATCCAAAAAATACCGCAACAAATCATAACGAAAGACAAGAATTTCTTGGCCACGCTTTTTTAGACACATAAAAGATTTTTGACAAAAGTTCTTAGGGGCACAATTACATTATACCGTAGAAATCGCCTAATAGATATTTGCCTAATAGAAATCGTTTCAATATTGATCAGGCAAAGTTTAGATAATTTCAGCCACCGTGAAGTTTCGTCTGTTCTGAAACCAAGTTCTAGGCTTAGTTTTACTGCTTTACCTAAATTTCACTGTCTTTACTGTCTTTGCTATATAAAGCTTATTTCACATACAACCAATTGATATAGCTTTTAGTTCATTAATTCGGTTCAGGGCAATCTGTTCCTTAGGTTTTAGGTGACCCAGGGGGATTCATCCGATACATTTGTAGGGGGGACGAGTCTAAACTTCATTTTGTTTAAAGGCTGTTATTCTATCCGTTTGTCCGAACCAATGAGTAAGTGCAACAAATGCACATGCGCATTGCGGTAAAGGCTTCTTGACAAAATTTACATATCATGAAGCTTCACAGCAATTAATCACATCTATCGTATATCATAGCTGCATCGTATAAACTAGATCCTCGCTCCCACTCTGCCATGACACTCTTTTCTCTATGTGTCCTTTGTCTTTTGACTCGAGTCTTACTAATCCCCCTAAATATTAACTGTGCATGTCTATATTATGCAAAAATTTGCAATCCAACGAAAATTCGTGCAGATGCTTGCATGTCCCATCAACAAAATTGTGCCACTTGTGTTAGCAAATTGCTAAATATTGAGCTCAGATCGCTGGCGATTTCCCAGGTTTAGGGTCACTCTAGTAAATGACAGAAAAAATAGTTGGCTAGGGTATATGAGGATTAGTAAAAAGGCTCATAAGAATCTGCTGTTAGGCTTTGCTTCCTTAATCTTTTAAAATTGCAAAGGGTGACCGAGTAAATATTGAATGGCTTGCAAATTGTACCTGTTCGCAATTAACAAATAATAGCAAAGCTGATAAAATCAGCAATGTTATCAATTGACATGAATATTATTTACAGACAGGTGACACCCAATGTGTACGTAGGGCGAACCTATAGTAATTAAAGAGCCAGTAAATGTAGGGCAGGGAAATTAACCCTAGTTTGCTTGTGTAGAGATCACATTGCAACCTCTATGTAACAGAATCCTGTTAGACCAAGTTACTGTCTGTTGAAAGAAGGTGTCCTTTCTAGTGAGGTGTTACCCTCGGTGAAGAACGGGGCAAATGAATTGATAAGGAGAATAGGACAGGAATCGAGGTGCCCTCTCCCTTCTTAATCTTCTTCACAATTTCATCAATCTCTTATCATACCTTAACTTTCTAGAGCTCTGGTACCCAGGGTAAGAGTATCGGTTGCAGGGAGGGTGTTCTTTGTATAATTAAGATTTTATCTAGGTTCGTGTCTCTTGTAAGGAGGGGCCCGTGGTTAAAGGTGCTCGTTGTAGTTGATTATCAGCTGAAGGGAGCGCCCATTGCAAAGAGGTTTAAAAAGTTTTTCAAAAATCAAGTTATAGTGTCGAGTAATAGTAGTTTTACTTTTTCTCTTTTCAACTGACATAATCAAGCTAACAATCAAAAACGTTGCTTTGCTAAATATAATTTTACCTTGATAAAGTTTTTCACAAGCTTAAAAAATTTAAACAGCCTTTGGTTGAAATATAAGATCGACGATAAGCAAATAATATTTTAAGAGATACTTGATCCTATTTGAGATGATATTCATTTGAAAATATCTTAGCAGGTATTATAGTATAACAATGTTCTCCATATATGGTTTCAACGAAGAACTGTACAAAACGACGAGAAGTTAAGTGTCAATGTCTATTGGTTTACCTAAGCACTGGCAGTTTATATAAAATGTCTAAGATTGAATATCAGCAGCATTGCAAGATAACGTCGAAGTACTTTTATGCATAGTATTGGTTTTTTCAGTGGATTTTCCAGATATCATGCTAGCATACAAAAACCTAAAGTTCTGTAGTAAACACTGGAACAACGAGGAGAAAGTTGAGCAATAGATGAGAAATTGTCAACAGTTTATTTATCAAGCTGTAAATTTAAAGGTCATCATAAACAGATCACGGTATCAAAAATTGCCCGAATCTTGCATTCGCTAATTCATTTGCTAGTTTTTACAACTACAAAATTCTCCAGAGAAATTGTTCAGCTTCTAGTGCAGAGCATTTGAAATGAAACTGAATACTAAATACGCACTAATCTAAACTTGCTTCTTTTGTTGCTTCTTAGATGATATTTTCCCTCGTATTGCTGAACCGCAGTTTTGCATAATAAGCTCTGAATTCACAATTGTAGCAAGGAGAAGATTAAATTTAAGTACAAAAGATACGTGCCTTGAAATAAGCTAGTACCTTAAAGTAGCGTCACGATTTACGAAGTTTGAGCTCCTAAAATGCCTCTTGTTCTCTTTTAAGATCAGTACCTGACTTGACTTCTTTGAAGTCACCTACATATTCCTTTAATTAAAGATTTTGGTCATAAAACATTGAATTATCAAAAGATTCTTTCCATTAAGTTGCTAATTTCAAAACCTCAATCAGCATTATCCTCTATCATTTAACGTGCACATAAAGAGATGTAATCTAACAAGAAAAGAATGCTTGTCACCTGTGACGTAGCCAAAACGGAACCCATACAAAGATTTTTCTAAGAATCTAAGCAAACATCATCCTATTTTTGATTGGCATTGAAGAGTAATTCAACAAAATTTCAATAGTTAACTCATTATATTCGCATTATTCAAAAATAACTGGTTACCCCACTATTTGAAGCTGACAATTCTCCCCTATCGTGGACATCCTTAAAAGTACCCTGGCTGGAAGCAAGAAGATTTAGTAACCCCTCTAGAAGAAAAATTAGTTGCAAAGGTTTTTCACTCTGCCGGAGCATGAAGAGAAATTCTATCTTTAGCCACACCCAGTCATCCTCTCCCAAACACACGGACGCACACACACAAACTTGACTCCATCCCTGGATGTCTCCCGCAGCAAATGACACATAAACAGCTATGCACCCACTACTTAATGTTAACAACCAGCTCTGAACATGTGTCTTTGATTAGGACAAAATCATTTATTCTTGAATTTTTAAAAATGATTGAAATGATACGCGAGCTTCTTGGCAAGCGATCGCCATCTACGGATGAGGGTACCTGCTTAGCTAGCATATGTTTGAATTGAAAAAGTCGGCGACGCTGAATAGTTCAAGGGGACTCGAAGCAGATGTTTAAAAAGCGCATCGCTATCTGGCAAATGAATATCATCTGTTAGTAATGAAAATATGAAATATTCAAATTAAAGTTATGTGAGAAGTAAAAATACATCATTCTGTTGATACAGAACAAAAATATATAAATAAAATCCCACTCAAGAAAGCGTCAAGGAAAATATTTAGCCCTCCTTAGAATATCGTAAATATCGTTAAAGAGATGGTTTGGTTGCCTAGTTGTATAAATAATATGAAGAAAGGTATTCCCAGAAAACATTTACAGTTGTTACAGAAAAGAAAATAAATGACCATTCTACCAATCTAAAATTTGGTTATATCAAAAATCAAACTTATTTGCCGTTGATTCACATTTCTAATTTACATTTACTAGTTGATACGAAAAAAAACAATCCGATGAGAAGAAATGTCCACTTAAAGTTTGATTCTCCGCTTTTCAAAACCCATTCTTGAAGCGCATTATTGTCACGTATATCATAGATTAAATGATAGTTAAATGATTTAAGGTCCCTTACATGTGTTTCTCTATCCTTCGTTCTTGATTTTGCATCCGGAAAACTAGAAATCGGCGATTTACGATGAAATTTCACCCTTATCCAATCGGAAAAACTCGTTAACCTCATCATATTGCTGCTTACCCTTCGCTTCGAAACTTCTTCTAGAGCATATTCGAGCTGAATCGTTAATAGCTTCGTAGCTGTCTATGATAATTCGAAAGAATAATCATCCTATGCATCTTTAATGAGCCTGGTACATCGTTTTCAATTCGAATTATACTGTCATTTGGCCAACGTGTGCACTCCCGTGTCCACCTTAAATCTAGAACAATCTCAATTCAATCCTATATGGTACCTGTCTACTCGAATTATGGCAAGAATTCACTAAACCAGGAGACAAACATCTAGTTTCAGCAGCAAGTCTGTGTGCTTTTCTCCATCGTATATTTATCAACAGTTAATAATTCAAAATCTTTCAAATTATGCTTAATGCAACAATTGCTGTGCTTTAACAGAATAGAACGAACTGGTAAATAATGTGTTTTGCCGATTGTCAAAGTAATACTTAATCAACTGGGCTTTCAATAATCAGAGGAATTTTCCAGTTGAGCTACCAGTTCGAAAATCTTTCCTACCCTTTTTCATGAACGTCTTTGGCGAAAACCTATTTTACCTGCTGGATCTTTCCACAATGTTTCTCTGAGGGATTATCATTCAATTTCAAAGGCCATTATCCCATACGTCTATCTACCATTCCTCAACTGTCAATATATTATCAGAAAATAGCTATTAAATTAAACAAAACTAATTGACGATTCAAATCTATATGTATGCTTTGAATTTCTCGAAGCTAATATACGCTTCAATTAACATTAATAACGGAACGATAAGATAAAACTAAGACAGATAGGAATGTTTTGATGAACAGGTTATAGTTAGTTGTAATTCTGTTTTAGTTAGCCTAACATGACATCTGTCGTTATTGCGTTGAGCCATGGTGAATTCTCAGTATAAGGTGGTTTTCAATTGGTCATTCAAACAACCACTATTTCCAATAAAGATGAAAACTACTTTAATATTGCAGCACGGAACAAGGATAAGCAAAACCTTAACGTACAAAAATAGCCTCGGTGTATATAAGCTACCACATTTATGCAATTTCCAGATCATTTACCAACAAAATATGACAGAACTATACTATTCGAAGACTGATATTACTGCAAGGCTGTCCATAAAGCCGACGCAGAATCCTTCTAATCCCTCCTTAACCGAGCCAGGGCTATCAATTTTGCTTATTTCTCACTGCAACTGTGACACCTTAACAGCTTGATTATAATATATATTACTAAGATAATTCGATATTCTTCGAAATTAATTTAAGAAAGCACAACTTGCTACGGCTAAAACGATATAACATGATTCCTTCCAAGACATTTTCTGTGATTTGTTCATAATACAACCTTAACTCATTAATTATCTATTCGTCCATTTATATATCAAAAAATCATTCATTTAATCGTCAGTTCGCTAACAAATTCATTCATTCATCTATTTATTCAATCATCCATTCATCTATTCGTTCATGTGATTTTTATTTATTATTTATTTATTTATTTATCAATTAATCAATTCGTTTTATCATTTATTCGATCTTTCAGAATTATATCCATACCTTCCTGGTGCTATTATAATCTAACATTGACCGACTTGTTGCAAAATATATTTCAGATGTATAAATACGTTATACATATTTTTTTAAATCGTGCAAATTAACTGAAAGTACAGAAGAAGTTGAAGGACAAAAAACAGGAAATCAGCAACGATTCAATCAAATAGTTTTGCAACGAAGAAACAATCAAACAAACAAGCAAACATCCCAACAAGCTCCCAAGCAAGCAAACACTCAAACAGGCCAGCAAACACTCAAACAGGCTAGCAAACACTCAAACAGGCTAGCGAACAATCAAACAAGCAAGCAAACAATCAAACAAGCAAGCAAACAATCAAACAAGCAAGCGAACAATCAAACAAGCAAACAAACAAGTAAGCGAACAAGCAAACAATCACATGATCAAACAAGGAAGCAAGCAATCAAACAATCAAGCAAACAACCAAACGACCAAACATACAAGCAAACAGAAAAGGAAAAACAAACAAGCAAACAATCAATCGACCAAACAAGCAAGCAAGAAATCAAACAGGTAACAAATAATCAAAAATCCAAGCAAACAATCAAACAATCAAATAACCTAAAAATCAATAGCCAAACGTTATAATTACGCAACAAGCGCTAACTAGAAAAGATAGTGTAGGCGTGTCAGGTGAATGGAATAGACTTCCATTCCGTAATTTGAATACGTGATATCTGCTGTTGTATTAGAAATATGAGGAAAAGCAGATTCGTGGATAAAGTGTAACTGCTATTAAGAGTTTTCATGACGTCATCAAAATGACCCTATACCGAAACTCCAAGCACGCCTTGCTCCTCTTACGACGTCAAGTAAAAGAATAAGAACCACAATTCAGAAGAGAAGCACAAAATTTGAATTTGAATGAAAATCTTTTTAGAAAAAAATGCATTCTAAAAGGCTTGCAATGATCGCCGATGCTTCGAGTACTCCAATTAAAATCTTTGTTAGATACTTTGTTCGATTTAATAGTAAATCCCCTGTCGAATGTCTCAAGAGAAAGATGGCACATGCAAAAAAACAATGGCTCTGCCATATGTTGAAATATTTAGTTCACGCTTTGAGATCTCCTCAACACAATATAACGATTTTTGGCCAAAGGAAAAAAGCTAAAAAAGAAGCAGCTGCTAACCATCGTTAGAAAGCGAAGAAAAAAAGACTGAGCAAAGAGTCACAGAGACCGATCTAAAAATGATTGGAGGTGTGTCAGTTTTATAAATGAAACTGTTTCTTTTGTCCAATGATTCAATAAGAAGTTTATATGAGGTCTATCAGCAGCAAGCAGCAAGCAGCAAGCAGCAAGGAAAAAAAATTTAGGACACATTTCTTTAAGTTGCCAAGCGCACTCATGACAGTCGAGCAGAGCCATCACTTTGAGAGGGGGGGGGTCGGGTGTTAGTGGTGTGTGACATTTGTTTTGCAAGAAATTTCTATTGCAAAAACAAGGAGATTAATTGCCATTCATGGGATGCTTAGTCGGCAAATTATCAAACTTTGTCAAAAGAAGGATAGCTCACCTACATGTTCGCAAAATGAGACCTAGAAACTCCCTTTAAACATAGAATTATCTACAACCCTTCAATGGAAGCCTACTGAAAGTCTTCATTGCTCGACCCAAAGCTTCCACTTTAGGGCCTCGTACCACAGGGAGTCGAGGCAGACTTGAAAAAAGGGGCCTCAAAATAAGCTGACATAAAGAAAGATGCTTTGTACAAGCAAGATACAGCTCTGTGTTGCAAAAGGAAATTGTGACAATGTTTGCAAAAGACCTTTTGAAAATATTAGCTTAGCAATGGCAGATTTCTTTTTATTTTTTATTTTTCAAAGTTATTATCATCAGTATTTTGTTAACAATTATTATTGTAGTAGAATTTGAATAATAAATAAATAAATCAAATCAAATAAATCAAATCAAATTTCAATCCCATTGATGAAGCATATTTTACACGCGATGATGAGACAAAGTAAAGCCTTCTCGTCGTAATGAGGGGTCTGGAACTGAAATTTCATCCTTAGCAACATAAAGAAAAGGTAAAGGTCTTTATTCCACCAATTTTATTTCAAAATTTCAAAAAATTTGGCGGAGTAACATAAAATTTTGACTCAATTTCAACTGCCAGTAGGCTCACAAAAATCAACATTTTAAATGCAACTAAAACAGGTTGGCATCTAGCACCAAAAGCAATAGAAACGCGAGACTCACACATCAGACACGAGGCTCTTGAAAAGAAACAAACGATACTCGATGGCTTGCGTACAAAACAGGGGTTCTCAAGTATTACGAGTGCCGTGCCAGAAAAATCATGTAGATTTTCTTCTGGGGCCACTAAGTTATCAACTTTTACATACCTTGTGTTGAAAAAAGCTGCTCAAAATAAAATTCAGGTCTTATAGCAAGCTAAAATTGGAGATAAAATAGGCAGGCCTATTATTTCGTGCTAGATTCTGTATTCATAAAATCTATTCAGGGTGAAATAGGTTTTTGGAAGGTGTATGATATGGCCTGGCTGAATGCTGGAGGGATTGGCCCAATGTGCACTTCACGGTGGATTCACAGGCTCAAAGCCAGGGACAACTTCCTGGGTGGGAGGTGTTGCTACAGGCCTCAAACTGTAGCATAGAATACAAAACAAACAATAGTTCACATAAAATTGTGCAACTTTACGTTTCTTGTACCAGATTGAGTTAGAAGTTCGTTGTTTGCCCCCACTGTTCAATTTTGGAGTTGGGCCGCTAATCTTTGTTAGACTCTTGTAAGGTCGACTTGAAGGTCAGATCCAAGGACTGTGAAGAGTATTTTAAGGAGAGGGCAAAGGGGATGATTTTGGATGTAGTTAGTTTAGGCCGTCACCATGGTTGGCGGCATGAAAAATTTTAGATTTTACTAATCCAAGGATGGCCAGAAACTTGATCTAACTAGAATTTAAGGGAAGAAAATGCAAGGCAATACTCTTATTACAAGGTTTTTATAACTAAGTTCCAAGGTTTTATCATTCAGATGTTGACATGAAAAAAAGAAGGGTCTTGCAAAGGAAATGTTTTTGAGCAAAAGCATTCGGCTGGCCGGAAGAAATCTTGTTGCGGGACGGAGTTGGCCCGTGGGCCGGAGGTTAATATAAAATGGCTGATATAATGGCTGATGTAAAACAAATAACAGGCGAGACAACAACAGTAGGCCAGATGAGGACAGTCGTATTTTCCAAACCACGCAGGACAATAAAATGGTGCACGAACTCGAAGTCCGCGCTCTGAACTTTAAAATTGGCAGGCAATGTGTCCTACCAAATTATGTGAGGCCATGGCCCCCTGTCCCTTATCTTTTTGGCGCAGCTCTTAAGACTACGAATTCAGCACTATTTCTTTCTGATAAAATCTACGGGACGGTTTTCAAAGCCATCTGAATGCCTTTCATTTCAATTTTTGAAAAAGGATTTTTAGCAGCTTTTTGCAGGCATTCTTTGTCAATTTTGCTAATCTTACAGTGAAGTAAACGCAAAATTTACACGACCCAAGGCATTTTCAAACGGCCAAAACATGAGCGCTGGTCCCAGATTTTTAAAAAAATTGTAAATTGAGGTAGAATATTAAGAGCACTAAATTTTGCTTCCTAAAATGCCAAGAGAGAGTTTAAAATCAAGTTGAATTTCCCGCAAAGTTTTTTGTTATTTAATTGTCAAGGATCCAATATACAGTAACAAGTACTTGAAACAACTATTTGCTGGCTATATGTTACATATTAAGGTTTCTCATCGCTTTGGTATCTATCAATTTTGTGCCAATCATATCCCATCATATCGGACATGCAAAAGATCATTGTTTTTAACTAGAGATATGAATTGGGTGTGATAGCTTATTTTTTCACGGCACATCAAAGGCAAGGAAAGATCTTTTTGAGTTAGGTGAGGACATTCAAGCGAATTCACCAGACCTACAATGCCCCTCTCCCCTACAGAACAATGTTGGTTTACTATCAAACGGGTTAGGATTTTAGGAAGCACTTTCTTTTGCGCTTCTTTTATGATATTTCTCTAAATCATCGACATTGTTTTAGGGGGAAGGGGGAGGAAGTAGCAATCTTTTCCATAAAAAGAATGAAAGATATCAAATGCAGCGTAAATTGCTGGGTGTTCCAAGTACTTTTGGCAGGCATTGTAGGACTAGCAAGGTCCAGTTTTAAAAATCCAACAAATTCTTCAATTATGTACTGGCCATAAAACCTTTGCCACAGTAGCCCTCAAGAATCCGTACCATGGCAATAACCAGTGTCTCCAGATGATGGCAATGATTCACCCTTTAATCTCAATCCTTTTTGAGATTGCAAATTTTAGCTTTGGATTACGCTTTTATTGTTCGACTGTTGCAAGACATATTTTCAAAGCATGTTTTGTTGCGGAATGATATATATTCAAAAGTAGAAAGAGCTGGGTAACCATGAAAACAAAAGTTGACTTAACATTTATTTTCAACAGAAATACTATAACAACTAACAAAGAGAATTCAATCATAACAATAATTGATAGAATCAAAGACACGATTCAAAGTTATTTTACTTTGTTGCTTGTCACGTTTCATCTTAGTATTTCACATCTAATAGTCGATCTTTAAAACCCTTCCGAATAGATCTCCAATCTATAAATAACACAATTTTCCCCAGCTTAAAATATGTGTAAATAATACGATAGCGGGAGTTAGTTTTTGAACCATTTATTTTTGGTCATGTTAAATCATGAAACATCTTAATATTTTGTTGTCACTGTATTGATTCTGATTTATTTTTGCAATCCTTATTCACCATGTGTTTTTTAAAAACCAAAACGTAGCTATATTTTAATAGCTTCTCGTAGATTGAACTTTGAACATTA